AGCCCCCTTAAAAGCAGCCACAGATGGAACCGGCCATATATGTACCTCTCAGCGGAAGTGCCGCAGGATAGGGGCCACCACTTGGGATGCCTTGAGTCAAGTGCCTGCCAGCCCTGCTGATCCTAGTGGGGAACCTGCAAATGGGCCTCCAGCAGCGTTCTCCATGCAGAGGCAAGTTCGCAGGCGAATGGGCAGTCCTTCTTTTCATCCGTTGCATAATGCAGCCTTATGCTCAATCACTTATCTGGCTGTTCTGAGTGACAGGCAGGGGAGTGCAGGGAGTTCCAGCTTTGTCCCTCCTGTCCCACCTGGCCTCATTTGTGCACTTGCTGGAGGGCCGACTAGGCCCCACATCTTCAGCCAGCCCAGGAACAAGCAGCAGACAAAAAACAGGTCTTCTGCCACTCAATCAATACAATACTTTTTTATTTTACTAGTTTGCTAAGCAGCTTGGAGACCCTTTTTTCAGTCGAACAACTTATCCTTACATACGAGGCTGGTACAAATTTTGACAACAGTGTTTACTTACAAGCAGCAGTAGCTAATAGAAACGTGTGTGTACGCTTACCTTAGTTTTTCCCTGGAGAGAGTTCCACAGTTTAACTCTGTGTGGCATGAAAAAGTTCCTCACTGAATCTTTCCAAAATCTCCTACCACTCAGCTTCATGAGAGGCCCCCGGGTCCTATTAGGAGAATCAAGAAAAGTGTCTGCTCTTCCTCTTTGTCCGCAGTATGCATAATTGTGTGCATTCTGTGTCATCTTAGTCATCTTTGAACTTTTTGGAGCCCGAGGTCCCCAGACAGTTGCAGCCTTTCCTCCTAGGGAGGGTGTTCCACCCCTGGATGATTTGAGTTGCCCTTTTCTGCACTAGCACCAGTCCAGCCAGCCTGGCATACTCACCCCATCCTGTAGACCCAGCTTCCCCACCTTGGTGGCCTCCAGGTACACTGAACCGAAACCTCATTCCAGCCGGCTTAGCAAGGCTGCCTGGAAGAAAGCAGAGCCACCAGAGTGCTGCAGTCCAGATGAAATAAGGCCATGGGCCAGAGTTTCCCCACTGCAGCTGAAGAGGGATCGGAATGGCCTTCATAGCAGTGGCCTAGTATTGAAATGGTGGCCAGTACTTGAATAAAGAATCAAAATAAAGTTGTAAACAGTGCAGGCAGGTGTGGGGGAAGCTGTGTTGTTCATGCCTGGCGATCTCACAGGACACATCTCAAAGGCACATGTGCAACCAGACTCCCCAAAGCACATGCATGTGGAGCTGCATTTTCTCAGTGAGAAAGTGCTGCCATGTGAAAGTTGGGGGAAGATATGATTATCCCTCTGACTGAGGTTTTGTCTTGAAGGAGGCATTCCGATTTCTTGCTGCAAATGAGCATAGTGCCCAATTGTAAATATCTATCTATCTATCTACCTACCTACCTATCTACCTACTATCCATCTGTATATATATTCACGGTTTAGGGTATTTCCCAAAAGGGGTTTGGGAAATGGTTAACTGAGAGTAATGCAGTGCAGAAACTATTCTGGACCTTCAGCAATGAATTATCAAGGCTTTCTAAGAGCAGTGGGAAATTTAATCTTCTTATCAAGTCACTGGTGCTATGGGAGAGGTGGCACGACCTGTGTGTATTCCGGGTTTATTAAAGAGTTTATTACGTAGCACTTTCCTCTATAACTCTCGCGTCCTCTGGTGGTCACAGTTAGAATTACAAAAGGAGTTTTCTAATTAAGTTCTCCTTCCTAAATCAATTGTGAAACTATTCACCTGACAGTGATAACCTCAGTGCTTGCTTCTCTTGTCAGCTGCTAAGCTACTTGAGAAGCAGATCCAGGGTACTGCTCCTTGGGTTTGCATTTTTTTAAATAAAACGTTGCCAAAATATTTTATGGATAATAATTTTGTTTGCTACTATTTCATCAATTAACATACTGCTGTTCACCAGGATTCCCGCTGAGGAGCACCTGAGTTATTTGGGTGCCTCGTCATCATTGCTGTTGCCATTTATTGGCTTTCTGACCTGAAAGGCAACCCAGAAATATTTTTAAATGACATGTAATATTATTATCAGCATCCATTTGTAAGAAAAATAATATTTAGAAGCCTTTATTGCATGTAAGAAAGAGGGCAAAGTTAGATCAGAATCAAGAAAAGAATGGAAGGAACATAGGAAACTTCCTGTGGTGAGTCAGGCCAGGGGTTCATCCAGCCCAGTGTTGTCAGCACTGACTGGCAGCAATGGCTGGTCAGAATTTTAGGCAGGGTTCTTTCCTAGTCCCATCTGGAGAAGCAGAGAGTTGAACCTGGAGCCTTCTGCATGCAGAGCTGGTGCTCTACCACTACTAAGCCCCTTCATGATGTGTCAGCCTTCAGCAGCTTAAAAATAAGCAAGGTTGCCTAGCGCAAGATGAATGTTAGAGTCTGACTGTCTTGCATCATCTCCACAGGCTGTCCGTGTACCTATCTGTCCAATTCAACTGGATTGTATCTAGCAAAATAGGATTCATCTGTCCCATCTGTCCATGAGAGATTCCCCACTGGTAAAATGGACGGGGAATTTCATGGATTCCCCCTCCTCAAATCTTCTATAGAGGTTGGAGGAACAATGGGGGATGAACACTGGAGGGCTGTAGAGGGAAGGCTAATCAGGAAGCTGTTTTACCCCCACACTTTCCACTAGCAGGAATATTTTGAGTGGAACTCCAGTCCTCCGTCAGCTTCACTGGCTTCCCATTGAAGCCCGGGCCCAATTCAAGGTGTTGGTGATGACCTATAAAGCCCTAAACGGCTTGGGTCCTGGTTTCATCAAGGAGCGCTTACGTCCATATACGCCTGCCCACCCCTTGAGATCT